GTTGAACATATTCCTCCTTTCTCCATTTTCTCTCTCTATAAGAATAGCATCTGTGATATGAGCTGTCGAACAAAGGCTATTCTAAAAAAAAGCTTAGAGATGTGAAAGCTTTTGTTTTTTTACCATAACTTGTCATCAACTACAGTGAACTCATTTTGTTACAAGACAGTATTCCTCAGAGGCTAAAACATTTGTATGAATTGTTTCTACTTATGAAATAAAGGAAGTGTTTTTATTGTTGGTGGGGAATCTTGTAGATCTTACAAAAGTATGATACATTACAGTTAACAAGACATGTTAGAATGCAAGGTAAGAAAGTGAGTTAACATTTAAGCAAAGTCTCCATAATTGTGTAATCCAAGCAGTGAAGTACAAAGGTGGAATTACCTGATCTTCATGGTGAAGAGGTAACTAGAAGCAAAAGCAAGCATGGAAAGAACACTGGTGAAAATTGCCTAAAGATGGGGCAGGCTCGGCTGAAATAACAGAGGCAGAAGGTTGGGAACCCTGGATCTAAGATCAGAATGAAAACAACCACTTGGTGCACAATATCACTGACCATCAAAGTTCTTCCAAATGCCATTACAGTATTGGATGACTCCTCCTGAGGAGTTTCTGAACCTCAAGAGATGTCAGAAATGTGGAAACGTGAATTTATAACCCAAATGATCCATGAAACAGAATTTTTTTTTTTGGAAATTAAAATTGGCCTGGTATGTTGATGGTGCATAGGCCTAGATCATTAGTCTGAAGAGTACTTATGAAACTTATATATGCTGGGTTAAAACAAAGGGGAAATAGTACTATAAAAAAAAAAAAACTTATCACAGGCAATGGGTCCTGTGTCCCAAAATTATAAATTTGATTAAAAGAAAAAATCAAGTTGAAGAAATTTGAATCACAGTTCTAACTTTATAATATCAACATTTTGTAAATGGGCACTGAAGCATTTACCTCTGAATGGTAGCTAATGCTCCAATGTCCTGAATTTTTTTTTTTCTCTGAATCTTGGACTACCTTGTTGCACATGCCTCCATCACTTGAATGTCTTCTTTCAGCTTGGGAATCTCATTTTTTATACTTTGGAATCTCGAGCTGATGCACCTCATTTGCAGTCATCTCTTCTCACTTTGGTTTTATGCGTTTTTGTAATTTCTTTATCTGCATTGACCTCTCCACTACCTTCTCAATGTAGGATTCTAGCTCTTTGTTGTGGTGAGAAGTGAGTAAATGTTTCTAAAATTCACATTTTCCTTCCCTCTCTACACAACCTCCCATCCTACCTTTTGTTCAAATGTTAGTGCTAATAGGAATTACAATGTATGTATGATATGTTGCCTTCCCATTCATGAAGGGCTATTACTTCATAAGCTGGTGTAATACCCATATACTAACTTTTGCTCCATATTCATGTTCTAATATCTTAAAAAAAATAAGTTAATTTGTACACAGTTTCTTTACAATTTTAAAAAAGTACAATTATCCTGCATTGACATATGTGACAAGAGTAAAATGAACTTCATACGCATCATTTATTAGTAATTTTTAATTCCTCCACTAATAACCATGTTATTTCTTATTTATTTTTAAGGTACAAGACAAAATACATCTGCAAACCTAAAACTGGTATATTATATAGACAAGTAAAACAACTGTAACAAAAGACAAATTTAGATGTCTTAAAAGAATGTGAAAGTTAAATGATCCATCTTGGCTGTCGTTTTAGGTTTCTTTCAGATTAAAAAAAAAGAATCCTATTAATTGGGCAGAGATCCATGTATATGAATGTAAAATTAACATTTGAAGGCACTTTTTAAGAATTTATTAAAGCAATGATTTATGTTATTTCATGGGAGCATAAAAATTGTAAGAACATGAGCAACAGATTACGTTGAGATGATCTTTTTGAACATCCTCTACATGTATAAATAGATTTAAATTGTGTATGCTAGTTTTACAAAGCATATATGAAATACAAACAGTTTGAATGCATAGATATAATTTACTATTCTGTACTTCTTTGTAACTTAAAACTGATTTTACATTGAATTTTAAATCAAGAGTACATTTGTTGATGCTGTTAATGGGATATTCTAGACTTCATTATTATTATTATTTTTAATCATGTGCTATAATAACAGCTGTATGTACTTGCCTATATTTTTTTGGTTTCTTTTGTGTCATTTAAGAAATTCATTGTATCTCAATAGCTGGTACCCACCAGTACATGTACATATTGCAGTTCTCAATTATGTTCTACTGCAGTTAAAACATTTTATTAAAGTTAGAAAGTCAGTTAAAAAGAAAATTCTTTCTGTAAAATTAACCCTAGACCACATTTTACATCCTGTGGTATTTGAAATTATGTATCTAAGTTTATATGTATGCGTCAATGGAAAATTATATGCAGGTTTTATGTATTTAAACTTTTTTGATGACTTCGTTATGTGATACATTTGTACACTACATACATGTTTGGTGATAGATGTTGTACTGTATTAATAATGTTCAGGTAATGTATGTTTTCTGTAACCTTATTTCATAAGTATTTGTGGTGGTTTATACATGCATGTATACGTGTTGTATGCACTAGTATATTCTTTTGCTTTCTAGTCAGTGATACTAATCATGAAAGCTTTTAATGCTTGAAGTTAAAACAGAACTTTTTATACTAAGAACTTTTATAAAATAATCAACTTATGAAATTTAAGTTTTTATTCTTTACATTATGTTGACCAGGTTTAATTTTTTGTTTTTGGTCATTATCAGTGTGAAAAGAATGGCAACACTGTTTAGTATCCCTCATAAAGTCAAAACACTTCTTCTAAAGAAGCTTTTTTTTTTCTCTTTGTTTTTGCATTATTTACGGTAAATAAACAGGTATATCTTGTATTAGTTTCTATGTATGCATTATACCAAGGTTACCAACAATATGAAAAAAATTCTAATTTGCATTACTTTTATAAGCTTTAATAAGTAGTACTGTGTATATATATATCAGCCTTGTTTTAATGTGTTATGATGTAAAATATTGGTTATGTATATGTACCTCTATCTGATGGTGCCAAGTTTTCATTATTGTTTTGTAAAATTAGCAGTTAAATGATGCTTATTTTTAATAACTTGTACTGTTATGCTATTAATGGATGGAATGTGGAACCATATTCATAAATACATAATCATTAGTGGTAAATTTCTACACACCTCTAAGTGAATTTTTGGTCAGCTTGATTTTATATGTATTATTATTGTCATTTTGTTATCATGTAATTAAACCACTTTTCACTTGTTTTTCTAGAAGTGAGGCTAGTGAAATTTATTTTTATTACTACTGGCATGGGATATAATCTAGCATTAAAATCAGAAAAACATATTATATTATCTGGTTACAATATGAAAGTTGTGTCTTCTAAATACTATTAACAGACTAATTTCATGTCTACAATATTTGTCACGAGTTTATGAAAACACGACCTATCCACACCATTAGTGAATATTATCATACGAGTGATGGACAGACTGAAAAAAGCTAAAGTTTAGTTTAAATGGACATAACATAATGTATAGGCAACATACAGTATTTTGCCAGTATATTCTAATGTGTGAATCACCATGAAATGTTTTTGACATAAATACTTCCAATGATCACTACTGTAAGATGATGTATATTATTGCATTTGTTAATAGATACATTTTTTTTTCTCTCTATACTTCAGAATATATAATCTGACTAACATGATGGCCTACACACGTTAGTGACTGACACCTTTGTAATTATAATATAGTAAGAATATGACATGTTAAATGTATGTTTCATTATGCTTAGGCAAATTTTCATTCAGACCTGACAAGTCATCTTGCATATAGGCCCTTATGGACACTCATTCTTTCATAATATGCAGCATATTCTTTATTTCAGTAAAAATATTCATAAGACAAGAAGTAATGGTTTTCAGTCAGACACTCAGTTTTGATGCCTTGTATCTGTATCTAATTTCTAAAGTGTTACTATAGCTATTTTTGTCACTTAGTCCTAGCCAATGTGATTTACTTAATATTCACCTTTTTCAGTTGAAAAGGGTCAGTTTGAAACATATATATATATATATATATATGTGACCTGTATTGTGAGAGATTTCAAAATTACAATCTATCCAAATGTTTGTGCATGCACCAGATGACAGATATGCAGAGTTTATTGTTGCAACAAGGAAATATGCCTAATTTGTATCCATTGTTTTATACAAAGTTTGTGCTAAAGACCCGAACACTAAAAAAGTATAACAGTTAAATGACAAATCTTTGACCAGTGGTCACTATTTCTTATACGAAAATTCAACATACATTTAGTATTTATTTTTTTAATATGATGAAAATACAAAATACAGCTAAAATAACTTTGGTCATGTGAAGATTTATTTCAAGTATTTCTGTTATTTTGAATACAACATGATTATAGATTTTATATGTACCAGTTTCAGTGAGTTCTAATTTTCACTCAAATATTTTGCATTTTACAGTTTTAAAAACTTTCATTAAACAAACAGTGTAATATTAGGTGTTTAAGTCACTACTCGAAATATTTGAAGACAAAAGTTTTATTTATAGGGATATTTAATATTAGGATTATTAGTGTGCTCCATAATATCTAGGCTACGTGGAATTGGGTGGGATGGGGATACCAAAGAAAAAAAAAATCTAGCTCCACACTATGGGGCTATAGGTGCATTATAAAATTTATCAGTTCAAAATTAGAGACAACTCATGCATATGCTCTTTGTGTAGCTTAGCACAAATAGCTGAGGCAAACAACAAGTCAACCAACCATACTTTTGTAACAAATCTCAGTTTGTTAGTTTTTAATATTTCATGGTAGGACTTCTATTTTCAAAATTCTGGTTTGTTGAAATATTTAATGTTAGAGCTGCTAGTGTATTTCATAATCGTAGGCCAGTTGTTAAAAGTATATTATAGCTTAATAAGTATGCACTTGGACAAGGTTCAATCTCACCATACAATCTCCTGCAAAACTACCCATAACTTTTTATTTTAAAACTTACAATATTTGGCATTGACCATTGTTTTCACTCAATGTTTTTTTCCCAATTATTGTAATACAAGTTTGACTGGTTTACAATCTACCATTGTTTGTTTTATATCCAATTCTATTAACATTATAAATAAATCAGTTAACATTGTTTTTTTCCTCCTGAAAAAAATCTAAGAAAGTATATTTAAACTAATCTTATTTCTACATCGTTTAACAACAGGATTTAAGAGTTTAAAACATTTATAACTGGTTATTACATAGTAGGAATGATTTTTCTCAGAAAGAAACAAGATGCTTTTTTCATGCACTTTAATAGACATTTTATAAAACATACCATAGAAACAGTGATACATGTATATATATATGTACACAACAGATAAGTGAGAGGATGTACAAATTAAATAGGTAAATGAACACACCAATTACAGGTATCGAAAAGTTTTGAATGTGCATGCTGCGACATAGGAAATAATACTGCTTAGTGAATTTGGTTGGTTGTTGGGGATTTATGGCACAAAGCACCAGGGCCATTTATGCCAAACAGTTTGAGTTATTTTATAGAAAAGGATGAAATTAAATATTTACAAAATCTTTCTTGGATTATCTAAAAAGGCAAAGCATCACTGGGTAGACAATAAGAAAATATCAAATTATGCACCAACAAACCATTTGTTGAAGAGCACTGAGAAGCTAATATGTAATCTTAATTCTACTACACTAGAAAGAAATATGTATGATTAATAACAATTTATATATGATAATTTCGATTTATATGACATCTATTTTATCTTAAAACTTCCATTGTCTTTTCTGCTATTCAAAAAAAAATATGCAGAACACACAGTTTATCTTGTAATTAAAAATTATGTACTTTCCATACTAGTGTGTGGTAGAGTAACTAAAAGTATATTACTTACATATATTACAGCAAAGAAAAGTTTCAACACTGAAACTGGTTCTCTCAAGTCCTCTAAAGACAGTTTATGCAAGGATCTTCATTAAAACTATAATTTAGAGCAACAATTCAACGTCTTTTTTTAATTTGGGTTATTAAATCTGATTAATTAAAATAATCTTTTTATTTTAATATAAATAAATATATTTATTTGAGTTACAAAAAGACTCATGGAGAATCAAGAGACCAAAAATAGTCTCTAATGGTTTTGATATGTCAAGATATGCCTAGTCTCTTTATTCAAAAGGATTTTTTTTTTGCATATACATGTACAAAAAAGCATCAGTTTTATTCTACAGGTTAAAACAGAAAGTAATAGGATTATCTTTATTAAAAATATCAGTAACAACTAAAAGATTTTTCCAAGGAATGCTTTGAGGAAATTTTTTGTTTTTGCTCAAACTTCTAAACTACACAAGCAAGGGTTGCTTTCATAGTAAGAGTCTGTAGTTTGACTGTAAACATAACACAAAGAAACGTATGTATAAAAAAAGATAACGTAAAGGGAAATACCACTCATTTTTCAGATCATTCCATAATTAATGTTGTTACTACATATATTAAAACATTTAACCTGAAAACAGCATATTGCCACTTTTGACGATATAATATAGAATTTTCTAGACCATTATATCATTCGGTTTGCACTATTTAGTGTGCTAAAACTTCTCAAAACAATGTCATACATTCTACATCTCATAAAATGCACTTGCATTAACATTAACTAAAAATACAACAAATAAGGCAAGTGTGAAGACACACATAATGTTTCTGCAATGGCTTTGGGGCCAACATTTTATCTCGCTGTATTTGTGAAGGCCCACTGGAAACACAAACATCCCTCAATATTAAATTCAGTAACATGGAAGCATCACTAAGTTTTGAGGAAAGAAATAAATTAAAGGCACTATTGTTTGAAACAATATCTAGGACACAATCTTAACCTTCACTGAAGTGTAGCATAATTACAATACTTGTATTTGTTATCAGCCCTGACCACAAGATAGGAAGACCTTTAGTATTTCTAGTTTAAAACTACTGACAACATCAGTTTCTGTATACTATACAAGGAAGCAAATTAATTTCATGTAGCACTCTTTCAATTGTGCTTCTAATTAAAAGCATTTTACCACAATAAATTCAGAATATGATTAAAAATATCTTTGGTGTCAACAAGTATATTATCCAGGAACATTCTCATCATTACTTCAACACGTACGGAAGGAATTCCAATAAATCTATAACACAAGTGAAACTATATCTTATTAGAAAAACAAAAACAGATATTTTTTAGGTTTAAGACAACTAAATAACTAACAATATAGTGTTGTCACGTTTTTCTCCAAAGAAAATCAATTTATCTAATGTACTTTATGTAGAAATCACTTACATACTTTGAAGAGTTCCATTTCAACTCTAAACACACATAAATCATAAGTGACTGGTTTGTTTGTTTGTAATTAAGCACAAAGCTACACGATGGGCTATCTGTGCTCTGCCCACCACGGGTATAGAAACCCGGTTTCTAGCGTCGTAAGTCCGCAGACATACCGATGTGCTACTGGGGGGCCAAGTGACTGGAAGCCTTAATGCATGTTTGGGTAAGTTCTCTACATCGGTTAAATTTCTACATTAAGTTCATTATCACAATAACAATAATTAAAAAAACTGGTATGTACGCAGCATTGTAAGATACATTATTCTAAGCAATGAAACTTGCTAGAACAGTCATTCTGGCTTCTAATGTTTCTTTTATATTCATGTTAAATCAAATATGACAACTTGTATCTCTTGCATTCTATATGAATTTAAAGGTAATGTCAACAACAAAAGGTTTTTCTTATTGCAGACATGCTTGTATTTTTTCTATCCATTCCTGAGCAGTTTGTCCGTCAGCTGCCATAAAGTTGTATATTCTTCGTATTGTTTTCAACTAGAAACAAGAAATTAGTGAAAATCACATTTTGTTCATTAGAAGAAAACAAAACTGCCCCTCAGAAAAAGTTTATTTTTGCACTTTCTCTCGCACTATAATTAATAAGTATAACTTAATTGATACACATATGGTTTGGTGAAATTTCAATTGTAAAAGCAGATTAATTGTTCAAGATGGTTTAGCTTAATTTGACAATTCAGACTTTAATAATTTTCATAGTTTTATTTTATATTTTTAATCTTGGTTGATTCAGAAAATTACACAAATAGTTAATTGTTTTTTTTCCTAAAGTTATTAGATGATATTTTATTTTTTAACTTAACATAAAGAAATTTGTTTTACCATACTTAAGAACAGTGTTACATACATCGAAGAACGATTTTTCGTCAAGTTTCTTGGCAAATCCTTGGGGTGGAGTAGCCAATGTTACAGAAACAACTTCTGCTAAATCAATGACCCCCTTACAATGAGATTCCTCCATTATGTCATAATAACGTAACTGAAAAGCAAAACAAAAAAAGAAGTCCAAAATATTACTAACATTACAATCAAAATTTCAGTACATAGTTTTATAGCTATTTACTATTATAAATTAAACTAGAAAGACATACAGCTGGTAAAAATTTCACAACAAGGCTTTGTCTGTAATTTTTAACTCTGGTAGTTCATATTTAAACACAAAATAAATAGAAATGACACACTATAGCTGCTATAACTTGCTACACGAAGTGACAGTCTCGTCACATCTATTAATATTTTAAAAACTTATATTATATGTACAACAAAAGGAAGTTATGCAAAATTTTTTGTTGTTTTCTAATTCTACTCAAAACATTACAATGAGTTAAGATGAAAGCAGAAATTCTTATCAAATAAATTACAATTTCTAACTTAAAGCTTTTTCTTGCCTCACATGTACCTAATCTTAGAAAAGTATTGTATTTTTATGACAAATACTTGCTTGTGTTTCAAGTATGAATTTTGAATAAGTTAACCTGTTAAAAACAATGTATTTATATTTATTTATTTCAATTACAAAACAATAATTCAAAAACAGAGATGAAACTATAAAGTGTAATATAAAATATCAATGACTTTTAATAAATTTTTAATAGAATTTAATGTTCAAATTCACAACAAAAAGCATTGAACTGCTTGTTCCAAAATGTGTAAATTTATTAGCAATCTGTTTAAGGTTGATTAGATCAGCTACTGTCCAATACTTATCATTTCCAAAGAGGTATTAATGTTTTAGGTCATTTTTGTTTAAGTGCATAGACAATGGACTATCTTCTATGTATCCATTCAAGAGATCAAACCCCAAGCTTGTGTTATATGTCTTCAAAGTTATGAAGGAGCTTTTAGATGATAAACAAATATATAAATACATCCTTAAAAACCAACAAAATCTTTGTAGTTCTTTTACTTTAATCTTTTTTTTTAAACTTAATTCCTATTTTTATGCAATCCCTCCAAGACACATAACTACTTTTTTGTGTGCATAGGTTATGCATAATATTTTGCTTCTAACACAGAGAAGAAATGTTCTGAAAATTCATAATTTCTTATTAGTGAAAAAAAATCTCTATTAAAAAATGTTTGTCAATACTTTTATTGATCCTTTTTTTTACGTATATTTATCTTAGAATTTTATCACAGTTACACAAAGGGCCATCTTCGTATAGTCATCCCTAATTTTGAATTATAAGACCAGAGGGAAGACAGTTTGTCAAGAGCACAAACTAAATCTTAAGCTACTCTTATTTGACTAAATAGTAGGATTTGAACATCATTCCTATAGCACACCCATAGCCTAAAAATGAGCCTTGAACCACAATCCTTCAGATTCACAGTCAGAGCAAGCTGATCACTAGGCTACACCCAATCCTTGTTTAAAAATAAAATTAACATTTTATAATCAAGTATATATATAATTTGAGCATTGCATTAAACACATTTTTTTCAATGTATTTTAAGAAAAATTTTCAATAAAAAAGAAGCATTATGAAGACTGAGGTTAATACAAGAAATGGTATAGACAGATATGTATATATATTCGTATATACTTTGTACAAAAAATGCTTTAACTTTGAAATTCAATTGATGTATTTACTCCATATATAGTTTTAAAAATTTCCATTACACTTAATATTCTTTTAAAATATGGATTATACCATCATTGTACAAACTTTGGATGCTACCACAGAAATTTCATTCAAGAGAACTAACCTCAAAGATAGAGAATTCAGGAAAATTTGAGTTTACAGTATTATTTAGGCACATCATGGCCCTTATGTTTCTAAATAATATGCAGAGAAATTACTTAGTTTAAAAACAATAAATTCCAACTACTGGAGAACAGCCTTCTAAAATTGATTGAGAATTATTTCAAAAATGTGATGTAAGGAAAATTACACAAAAACCATGTGCCAGTTTTTATAGCTAACGATTCTTGTTGATGTCAGAATTAATAAGTTGAAGGAATCAAGTACTATAAATCTTTAACTCCTTTAAGTTAAACTAATTGATTTAGAATAATGTTACCCGATGTATTTTTTTTAGCTTTAATGATATTTTGCTTAAGTAAAGGTGAGTCACCTTTTAAGTTTTTTTGGACTTCATAAGAATCTATACCTCCAAAAAAAGAACACTTAACACTAAAAGTTTTCAATTCAACCACAATCAATGTGATGGTCTCATGCTACTGTTTACTGTAAAATGCCATTATGGTCTACCTTGATTAAGAAAGCACATTATGCTAATATAACAACAAGTGGACAAACAATGATTTATAAGCATAATGATTTATTTTTGGTGGAACATACTATTTTTTCTACAGAACAGTGGTCTATCTTCTTTGGGTCTTCTTCATACCCGAAGGCAGGCTAATGTTCTGTAGAAACACATAGAATGTTCCACCAAATATACATCATTTCATTATGCTTATAAATTGTTGTTTACCTACTTATTATTATGGTCTACCAAAAATAATTTTTCTGCCAGGTTGGTTGTTGAAGGGTCAAGTACATAGTAAAAATCACTCAAAAAACAACAACTAGAAACAACCTATGATATTTCTGACATTTTCAACCCTTAAAATGAAATTCACACACACACTTAAGTTGCACTATATAGTAATTAAAAAAATGTGTTCTCCAAATTCTATCAACTTACTTGATGTTTTATAGAATCCAGCACAAACCACCTCTGCTTCCAACCCTTCAAAAGAGCTCCACGTTTAAATAGGTAACCTTCATGAGTTCTGTTTTCAGCCACATTAGATGAAAACTGGTTATAATACTGACTACTTGTTTGTACTGTTGTCACACCTAATAAACAGAAAAATTTAATACACTATAATCAATCTATGGTACACCATATCGAGTGTTTAATAAAAAAAAAAAAAAAATTAATGAAAAGCAGTTCCTCAAAAAGCCTTAATTTAGCTTCTGAATTTCTTTATGAAATATACTGTGTAAAAATCTATATACACAGTTTCTTATTAAAATACAAGTCAAAATAAATGTCACTGAAGCAATATTTGTTAGAATATTATTCAAAAAAATATGGAAGATAAAATTAAAGTGTATACAATATGTTGATCTTAAAAACGTATATATAACTATAGATTTAATAAATCCAGTCTCTCTCTTATACATGACTATCTGTTCTTGTTATTTGCCATTCAACAACACAAACATTTTTTGAGATTTTAAATTTTTAACATAACCTTACTACAACATTAGTCTAGTAGTGGCCCAAGACATCAGTCAATTTAGTTTGGAAACTGTTGGGTGCTAGTAGTATACATGACCATGCCATACAAAAAATACAAATCCTAAATTTTCTAATTACTTATGAACTACTTGTTTATGTAATCAACTCACTAACTGCCAATGCCAATCAAGCAGCTAAAACAAAATATTAAAATTCATAAAGTTCAATTACATACTGCAAAACTTGAATATCCATACACAGATATAAATCTAACATAATAAAACTTGGCCTGATCAAACTCTGAAATATCTGGGTAGACCTGCTAAGACTAGTGAATCCTAGTCAAATTCAAAGAATAGTTCTCTGAAGGTGTAGTTTGACTGGAAAGTATTGAAGAAGGAAAGAAAAAAGAATTAAAACAAGATATAAATTATATTTTCTTAAAAAAGATTTACAAATACAAGTTGACAAATTAAGCAAAGTAAAATGGTAAAAGTTCAAAATATCCTCATTTTCTTGCTTGGGGGGAAACATGTAGATGTAAAATAAATAAAATGTGTAACCCACAACAAATAAAACCTCAGTGAACTGCTTCCCTATTAGTAAATTTTAGTGTTCAATTTTTGTTTGTTTTATCACTTATATAATATGATTTAATTGTCTTGACATTATTACAAAATGTTTACAATATTTGCTGTTTAGACCTCTTTAACAACACCAAAACATTACACTTGTATCACTGGGCCTTATACTAAAGAAATCCACTGTCTATAAAATGTTTTCATTTTCACTGTGACTGAAGTCAATAACTTTTCTTATTTTGTACAGCTGAATAAACAATAAATATTTAAGACTTTTCCAATTATTTCTACAAAAAATATTACAATAACGTAAAAAAATTTCTGCCATTAAAAATTGTTCCTTAAAAAATATCTTATTCTTATGAATCATAAGACAAACCTTGGATAAATTATCTTGTAGCAATATAGAAGATATCTAAAATATGCCAGGCTTAAATTGCTTAGATGCTTGATACTTGCCAAATGTAGTTTGTTTAATCCTAATAAAAAAATACAACAAAAAATATATATAATCAAGCTTTTTGTTAAAAATTATTTGCTTAAATGTGTTTATTAAGACACTGCTGAACTTACTAGATGCCACAGATGAATTTTCAGCACTTCCACCCTTTGACAAAGCTACAGATGCAGCTCCAGAATCACTGACAGACTTGTACTTAGTACAGTTCTTTGGTACTGACTCCATACATCTTTCATGACAGTTGTAACCACAGTCCATACATCTCATACCTAAAAAAAATAAAATAACTTTATCTCTAAAAAAAAAACATCTTCATTCAAGAAGCTTCAAATTTATTCCCTGTTCTTTAAAATATCTGACATTCACGGTGGTTTACATAATACGTAAATGGCTAAAACAAGAAAATACTGCAATGATCTCTGTGTACTTATACACGTTTTAAATCTTTTATTGGAAAAACTACACTAAATGATATTTGTATAGAGGTGGTATTTCAATAAAAAATACCACAAGTAATGCCAGTATATTTTGCAATGTAACTCGTACGCTATTCCATAAGCATCAGTTAGTTGGGAACAAGGAAAACTATAGGAACCATAGCTGAAATCTTCAACAGTGTGAAATACAGATTGGTGAATAAAGGCATATAAGTTACAGAACAAAAAATAGTGCATTTAATCTACAGAGTAGATAATTTAGAATCTCACTACAGAAAACTGTCCAATTTCTTCCTACACGTGTATTTGGTATGAAATACTTTATTATTAGAAAGTAACTACTTAAAAAGGTAAGCATAACTGTGAACTGGTGTTGTAAAACCAAGTCTGATTCTAATTATAAACTGTTGTATCTGTAAACATGTCTAAATGTAGCAAGTAAGTGAACATCAGTCACAGAAAACTACAAGAGGGACTTAAAAAATAAGCAGGAATTTATTTCCTGTAGGTCAACCATACAAAGTGAAAACCAAAAAATATGGACACACGATATTAAAGATGTTATCTTCATTCTAGGGAGGGTCAACTAGATGGAAGGTGATTGGTCAGTTCAACATGTGGGGGGTGCAAAAGAACTGTCTATCCAAACTCCTCATGTGCAATTGTTACCCAACAAAACATATGATGCCTTAGCCCTATCACGTTACAGGAGAATCTGAGCATCTCTGAAAATGTACAGACGATACGAAAACAGGATAAGGTCAGAAAATATTCAAAGGCCACAACATAATATGACTGCAATTAATATTAGAATAAAATCCCAGCTACTAACAACACAGAAATAGCCCTTCTTTGAAGGTGGTAGCAGATTATAAACCCAAAAGTTAGGATAAAAACTAGCTAGTAACTATTATTTAGTTATTAAAGAAAATAGTTAATAATTAACCAAATGTGCAAAGGGTCAGTCCATTGAACCAGCCCCATACTAGAGACGGAGTGTTGTCTAAAATTACAAATTTTCTAACGTGTATCTACGTGAAATTTAACAAGCTTTTAGTAAAATGTCTGTTGTAAACAGAAAATCAGATGTATTACAAAAGTATTTGCACTCAAGATATGTCTGTCAATCGATGATGTCATCCTGACTCAGGTTCTGATAAGTCAAAATGCAAAGTGATGTTCATGTAAAATATAAAAATATTTTTGTCCATATATATTTGTGCATTTTTATAACTTCTAGAACATCTGAAATGCATATCTCCAGTTTATTTTCAGTATTCCTGTTATATTTCATCTGATATTTACTCTCCTCTAAATCAACAGTGTGAGGTAAAATGAATAGTTCATAACTCTGACATCAAATGTATAATTCCATATTGAATGGCATGTGCACTTCAACCTTTACCCAAACACACAGGGTTAGTAATTAGGTGATCATATAGGATACTAACCATGACAACAAGTGATATCATACAACACTACAAGATGCAAAATTAAACATGGTGTATGATTACAGGTCTACTGATATCTATCTTAATACTCTAAAGATATAGAAGTGTCACTCAGGTGAGTTTATGAATATTACTAAATAGTAACAATAATGTTTGACACACGTCTTTATCAAACATGCTGCAAACTATAATGAAGTTTAATCAAATAATAATCAACAGGTTAGTTATCAGTTTAAACATTATTTTTCTGGAGAGACCTGTACAAGGATCATCATTTGGAATTAGACAAGTATTATTAATGTAGACATGCCACAATGAATACGTGTTATAAAATAAAAATATTTTATTTGAATTACTCACATATTTTAAAAAATAAAGTACTATATATACACAAAAGATTTAAGATACCCTGAATTTTAGCTCCATCTTTCACCTCCACCTTAGTAGAATCATAGACAGTTGCACAAATAAAAGAAAAGCTGTGATAAATCTCAGCTTTCTCTGTGAAAACTATGCATGAAACTTAGTTCAAATTACTAGATATATCTAGTTTCTGCTTTAATAAAATTCATATACCTTGATTTATTATTACTATTATTTTTTCAAGTTGTAAAATTTCCAAAATGTTACTGTGAGAAAAAAGTTTAAAAAAAACATTAAATACTTCCTTTCATCTTAGAATTTTAATTTTATTTTTTGTTTTTCAGAAAGTTCCATTTTATGTATCCAGTTGATTTCTATTCATTATCACAATTATTTTGATACTTTATTTTGCCAATTTAAAAAGTCACTACTTTAAGCTGTAAATCATAAAAAACTGCTTTCTATATGAAAAACTTACTGGTTTTTTCATGTGAAAATGAAATATTAACCCTTTCTGGACTGGAGGGATTTCACTGATATCCCCTGCTTTTTTCCTTCTCCCAGTGGAAATATATAACGTGCATGAAACTTAGTTTAAATTACTAGATGTATAGGCCTACAAATAAAAAAAGAACTGCACAAAATTTGCAAAGATTTATCAGTGATCTAGGATCTTACCTATTAAAATTGTCATCCTTACTGGGTATTAAGAGTTTTGCTAAAAATATTCTTGGTCAAAAACAATTCGTATCTAATAAATGTTTCAGAAATGAAGAGAACTGTTAAAAAAATTGAAAACAATTCCCAGATTTGTTGTTTGTTCCCAAAAGTTTTCAATTTCCCATTAGAACCCCTTTGTTAGCCCCGAAAAGAGCCATGGCTAACCAATATTGTGATGGATGACAACTTACTACTCAATTCACTTTATTTATTCTGCATTAAAACAGACAGATCATAACTTTTTGATTCCAGTCACTTTTGTCCATTGGCTATAGCCATTTCAAAACTGAGCTTCATTAATAATTGTTCAGAACACATTCTGTGGCACCAGGAGATCAAAAATCAGGTAGAAGACATGAATTATTATATTTTCAAAGGATGAGTTTCTTAGCAAATATGAACCTGTACTTTAGGATGGAGAGAAAATTCTCAAAAATCCATACAACAGTTTATAGACAAGACTTCTTTGAGCTACACAGAAATACAAGTGTTAAGCAATGAGAAAATATCAATTCTAAAATATTTTTTAATTAAAATTTGATGATATATGACATGCAATCAACACCTAAAAGGTACTTACCAATCATGATAATTAATATTACAGTTTCTGGCATAACACAATGAACATGAAATAGTCATTATTTAAGTAACATTTTTTTGTTTTGAATGATGTTTAGATAATTATCATGAACACACGATCACCAACATACACATTTTTTTTTAATTTTTTTTTAAACTGAAATGAACTTCCTGGTTTCATTAATGTATACTTACTTTTCAGTTCTGACATGATAAGCATATATTTTTCAGAAGTTCTTAAATAATAATTACAAAAAAAACTTTTTAAAAATACACCAATAATGTATATGTATCATAATACCCTTACCAGTTTTTACCAAACCCCAGAGTATATGAGAGCAGGAATCACAATACGTTGGAGTTGTGTAGTTGTACTTCTCAAAACGGTGAGGATGAGAGTAAACCTGTGGTTGATTAGCCTCTCCAACCATCTTGCCTCGAATCAAGATCTCAATAGTTGATCTTTTGTGAATGGATCTTCCGTGGGACCGAATGAGTTGAGTGGTAATAGATGCTTGCCTCTGGAATAAGAAAAGTTTCATTACCAATTACTAAAAGATTCCTTAAAAAATATGAAATATTATTTTCTTATTGCACAGATTTAACAGTTCAAACAATTTATATAGCCATATTTTGTGAATATATATTTGTTAACTCTATATTACTAATTACATATATATATATGCAAATTTTATTGATGAAACTTTATTTCTTTATTCAAGTTGCACCGTAATATATATATATATATGTCTATAAAATCCAATAGGAAAGTTTTTTTACTAATTATTTATTATCATGTTTCAATATTAACTCTGTTAATAATGTATGTTAAGAACAATGAATTTAATGTGAAGAGTCTGGGTAGCTATTTAATGTCATAGATGCTCTATATTAAAGGAAGATGATGAAAACTCACAGAGAATGAATCAAAACTTGGTAGCTCTAGCTTATCCCACAACACTGTCCATTTCTGAGGCAAGTGTCCAAGTTCTGTTTCAAGGTTTGGGATAATCTGGGCATTTGTAAAAAAAAACATAACTATTAAGTTGTATGTATGCAAGAAAACAAGATAAGCTCATATAAACCCCATGAAATGGGTCTTTAGACAAAAAAATCCTCATTCCTTTAGTGTGTACATGAAAGTTTCACTTATCCTCAATAACTAATCTGAGTAACATAAAATCTTTCCATTAATTAGAATAACAACTGATATTAAGCAAGGCTTAAGATTACATTTGCTGATAAATTTGTTTTGAATTTTCTCATGCTATAATAGTTATATTGTTTTAGTATTTAGGCATATCATATACTTTCTATCTCTTCAAAACCTTTCATTTATTCAGGAGTATTTGTGGCTTCCACATAACATGTTGGTCAAGAAAGTGATTAAGTACCTTTTGCTCTGATTACACATTATTCTGTTATTTACATCAGGTAACACCTTGTTTACTCATACTAAAGACTGCTGTAAAGTTGTGAAAGTAGACACCAATTTTCTCCATTGGTAAGTCAGGTGATATCTCAAGGTCACAACCTCTTATATTCTAATGGGAATGTTTTCTCATAGTGAAACAACAACAACTCATCTCAGACTTAACTTTTTGGAATTTAGAGAAATTTCAACAGCTTTAGTTCCCCATTAAAGCCAACTATCCTTCTTGATAACTAAATACACACGCAGTGTTGTTTGTTTTCAAATAAAGATTGTTTTCACTAGTGTTTCGTTATTTGTATTTAGTCTTTTTCTTGCATAAACTCAGGATCAAAGAATTCAGTATTACTTCATAGTTAAATATCTTATTGAACCTCCCGTTATTTTATGGACCTACCTTGGGAGAAATCGATTTTATTTGAGAACACCACACTGCCTTTGTAGGCTTAGCAATGAACTGTGTACTTTTTTCATTCATTATAATGTTAAACAGCTAAGTCTAGATTTTCTTGCTTTTGTGAAAAATCTTTATGAGCAAATAAAAAATCCATGTGTTTTTATGATTGATTCTCAAACTCTTAAAAATTAAGATTCTATACAAAAAAAATTGTACAAAAACTTTTTCTTGATCTGTTCACATGTCCTAGACTTACTGGTGCTCCTTGTGTCATTTCTCACCGTATTTTGTTGAAGACCAACAACTTCTTTGAAATCATAATATTCTTAATTCAATTGTACAGTTTTAAAGGTGTAGCTGCTGTTACAATATCACAAATATGCTCTTGGGGTACCACAGATTACCTCACTTTTGAAGTATCTAAGTTCAAAAATATACTCATGCAGTATATTCCAGTTATAAATAGAATTCACCTCTAGCATATGACTAAACACATCTGGTTGAACAGTCTGCATGTTATCACAGCAAGCATTAACAATCTTGCGAGATGTCTCTCGAGGAATGCCATCTGCTGCTTGTGATTCTTCTTCCTTCTGCTTCTCCATAGCGACTGCTTCCAGATCATATGGAGGACCATGAGAGAGCTCTTCTTTCAGAAAATAATCCCATATCTCTAAATTGGAGATGTTTGAGTATGGTCTCAATACCTGAAAGTTTAGCAATGAAACACATAGTTAATTAGTTCAAAGGATCATTGATAATCATTTACAAATAAAAACTGACTGCATGTTTTCTACAACTATGTTAATAAAAAAATAAGTATATTAATATCATACTCTGAACAAAAAAAAATCATTAAAAATTAAAATGATATATTATTCTCAATAATCTAACATTCATCATGCAGCAAAGTGTTAAACTTGTATGAAGAGTTTATACTGTTTAAAAAAAGTTATATATTTTGCTTAGTACAAGTTTTAAGTAAAATATTTTATCAAATAAATGGACAAAGCACCTGGTTATGAATAAAAATGAATTTAAATGTAATACATAAAATTTTTTGTTTGTACTAAAATTAATTTTTTTCTCCAGGAAGATTATTAAATAAAAACTCATATTTATTTGTATAATTTTGCCACTTACCCCATCCTCAGGGTGAGGAACATAAAAGAAATTGTAGAACATCGGAGATCTTGCCCACAGTCTTTCTATGTACTCCCAAAGTGATGGTCCAAGAGAATTTGAGTTAGTTAGAGTTCCCATCTTTACAGAAAATCCAGTTTCATCATCAGAGCCACTGTCAAGACCACGATATTTTGACCCTTTATCATCAGCTAACCAACCTGCTTCTTCTCTTTCACACTCGCTGTCCAAAAGAAATGTACGGAATCGGCACGAAACATGATGATAAGCCAAGAACTTGAGAAAGTACTGATTGAACTCAAATGACAAAGGAAACTGTAAATGAATCTGTGTAGGATTAAATGAGAGAGAAAGTTATAAAAAGTTCACTAAATACTACATAATTATTTACTTCTAACACAAACAACTAAATACCATGCATATACAATGCTCTGCTTTCTGACATTAGAGATGTAAACTAACTTCGGATCGTATATTAATTGTTCTTTAAACGATCTTCAAACTTTTTTATTGAAGTTTCTATGAAATTGTTAGGATTTTGTGTATGCGTGGGCCAGATTCTTTACAGTAGGTATCTGCAACTTGTTGGTGATAAATTTCAACAATAAACAAACAGCACAACAGTCTACTTGTTTTAAAATAATATATTAAAATAAGTCAAACATATAAACAAATATTCATTACACAGTTAACCACCATAGTTATATCCAGAGCTTTAAATAATCACCTCTTTTCATCAAAGTCCACACAGGCAAGTTCAATTACTTCAAAACACAACTGACAAGATGAATTATTCTTCTCTGCTCTGTTAACACAATATAGTCAGTGATAAGTTTACATACATTACATTGTTCATTACCACAGTTGTATCCAGAGCTTTAAATAATTGTCTCTTTTTCATCAAAAGTCCACCAGGTTTGTTCAATTACTTTGGAACACAATTGACAAGACAAATTCTTCTTCTCTACTCTGTTTTTACCATACAATCTGCAATAATTTCACTTTAAAATCACTGATATACACTCTTTATGGCCAAACTCATGAACACAGAGTCTAGATCTATTTCACTACATCTCTTACTAGCTTTCTATATCACTAACTTTGTCTTTGTCTAACTTTCTATATAACTAACCTGAACTACATTTTGTCCCCGTATTTATAGTCTGACTGAGGCCTAGAACTTTCTATACACTACGATATTATGCTGTAATAATACTCGATCAAAACAACAAGGAAAACTTAGAAAGCTCTAGTAACATGAAGCAATAATACATCAAGTTCCAATTCACAACAGTGGAACTACGATTAGTACACCGTTATATAAACAAACCTGCAAATAACTATCACTTCTAAAAATAAATTTAACACTCATGCCATAATTAAATTATCTGAATCATAACTCTCGCATTAACTTAAACAGTCATGTATATATAACCAAAATGTGCATTACATTTGTTATGAATTACTAGTATAAAAGATGTTGCAAAGTTCATGTTACATGAAGTTATGGGGTTTAAAATTTACCATACAACACTTGTGTTTTGCAAGTAGAATACTGACTCAAGTAAAGTGAGATACCAACTTTCATTATGCACAAGTTCTATGGCTAAGATTTTTTCCAAAATCCACAAAAACAGTCAATATATAGTCTAGTTACAAAAGTGTCCACAATTTGTTGTTTATGATGTGTGAATAGCAGTCTATAAAATACCACTTCTGATTGGTCAGTATGTACACAAACAGTGAATCACACAGAATTTCACAAAGTTGAAATTACACAGACACGTGTAGTTTTGCTTGATATTACACAAGATGTAGGCACTAGCAGGTGATATTTTGATAGCATACAAACTTTTACAGATGATAAAAACAGCACAATATTGGGAATGGAAGTAAGGTGGGTTTAACAACAACAACAAAAATATATATATACACACACACACACAACAGAGGGTTGAGAATGTTACATTAAAATGACCTTGAATACACAAATCAGATGACAACTACAGACGATATAAAGTTTCAGTGGAACAGCTGGTATCAGAAATATATTTTGACATTGGTAGTGTGATGCCATTGAAAACTGATTGCTTTTGGGAAGCATATTTAACCAGCCCTTTCTGATACATTCAGATCACAGATTCAGGATTTCAGAGATAGAAGGGAATATCTCTAGTATTTAACGATACTGGAAAACAAGGGATTATGGATCAACTTGGACACCAGAACCATCCAGAAAAAGATCTGCTACAAATCATACCCAAGCCGTAGTAAGCAATATTCAATGTTTTGTAACAGGTGACAATCAATGGATACAAGTCAGTTGCAAAAGCTGCCCATGTGTCCCAGGCAATAGTACGCAATATAACCAAGAAGGATCTCTTTCTAGATAAATTATACAAGTCATGTGGAAACAAGTACCTTACATGACACATCAATTCTACCACCACATACCTCAAGCAGTTGAAGAATGAAATGGGTATTCATACTATTCCATATAAACACAACATACTGATCAAGTAACCAGAAACAGCACTTATGGATTTATATGTGATCGGACTGTCGAAATGGGCACTGGAAAACCACTGTGCTGGTATATTAGATGGATTGTGGAAAGCTGAAGGGAGGAGGGGTGTGCCTTTAACATTAGTCTTACGACCAAGACTTTTGCAATGGAAATTATGTTGTTGGGCTATCGACAAGACACATGGTCATCAGATAGAGCATGACCAGACATGGTGACGTGGATTGTAACAACATGGTGAGGCTCGAAAATTATTTTAACATAATGTCCTCAACCTTTGTTTACTACTATTAATTTTTCAAGGCTGTGTCGAGCCACTTGGAGAGTGGAAGTAAGGAAGGCAATTGGGTTGTACATGTGACTGATTCAAAATAATAACATCATGAGCATACATACGATGTTTCTCACTGAGCAGTTACTGTTGATTTCTGTCCTCAGTGAATACAGACAACATACTTAATTTCAGAGTCACTGCAGTTAGGCTTAAATTTTTGTTGTATTTTATTAGCCACTGCACTGCTCTTTCTGCAATTTCGTTTTCCAAAATGGGTAAAATTTAATTAATTGATAGAATTTACCAATGTCTGCAATCCTTCATGTGATTTAAATTTTTTCTCTACCAAAAAAAAAAAAAAAAAAATTACGGACTGCAGTATTAGTAAAACTTGGTTTTCTAATCCACTCCTAGTTGCCTATTTTAAAAAAGTAACTATCAGCAAAAAGTAGAAGACCTAATGTAAATGTTTTTAAAAGCTTTCCGGAAAATATTGCCTTGTTTATACAAGCCTAATAGTTGCTTCTCGTGGAAAAAAGCCTGGAAATTAGCCAAAAATTTTTGTTTCCTGGCTCCAGTTCTTAGGTGAGTCAACATCAGTTTTCAACCAATCACACCTTATTTGCTCCCATTCCCAAGTGTCCAGATGCAGCCATTTTTGTGTAGTCTTGTAAGGGAAGAAGTGGAAGGAATAGAGCAAGTTTGTTTAATAAGAAGTTAGTGCAAGTTAAAACATTACCTCTTCTTGTGATAGGTACAAGTACTTTTTTAGGTAATTGCAAAACCTGAGTTACAATGGCATTTATTGTAAACTTTCATCATGATATGTACATGTACAAAGTCTACTACAACACTGATCAATACTGATGCAGATACAGGTGATGTTAGAATATGTCAGAGTTAAGCTCCACCTACCATATCACACTGATATTGAAATTAATTATAAAATTAATGCTTAATTTAAGTATATATATAGAGTGTCTCAAAAAATGTCCCTATACACTGTGAAATATATATATAATTAATCATTATTTTCTATTTCGAGGAACCCTGAAGTTTTAACATGGAAAGATTGGCACTTTTTCAACGAATAAAAATTAATGAGTGGTGGCACCAAACAAAGAGTGTGGTACAGATAAAGCACAGCTATTGCAGGCATTTTGGTGTTGATGAAGCACCAACTAAAAGAACTATTTCTTGGACTATGACCAAGTTTGTTATAATGGGTTATAATACGTGATCGCCATAGTGGTACAAGGCAAACTTCTCACAGTGCTGAAAATACGGGAACAGTAAACTGTAGTCCAAAAAAGTCTGTACAGTGACTATTGGCAGAGACAAACATCCCTAAAACATCTGTTCACTGCATTCTTAATGATTCTGTGTTATATACTGTCAATCTATGTTTAAATATATTCTTAAAGAACTGTACACTTTGCAGGTACTTGGCACTTAAATTTAAAATAAAAACTATCAAAATATCTTCTGACAATGTAAACTATACAAAAACATCTTGGCTGTCAGCATACTGGCGAGAAAAAAAGACGATAATAATGAATAAAACAACAGAATAAACAAATATATAAATTAACTACAATAACCAATCTTGAATGAAATATTATTAACATCATAAATATGGCAATAACCAAAAGTGTCCAAGTACTTGCCTGGTGAACAACATCAAGAAATTGCAAGAACACTGGAGTAAATCCACTAGCCACAGTTGCAGCAGTATGGTTACCTCTATGACTGAAACGGTGGCCAAAGGCCAACCATTCTTTCTCAATCAAGGTGTGAAACCCTTCAAATGTTCGATAATAAGGATCAAGACAAAGCTGGGCTATGGAAGACACCTTTAAAAAAATAAAAGCAAAGATATGTTTGTTTATTCTGTTCAAATATTGAAGTTTAGACTGTCTAAGAAACATATTTTTAGTATTGAATTTAGATGTGGAAAGACTAAAGATAATTTGAGATAGTTTGTATAAGTGGAAAAAATTCCCCATACAGTAGTGTATTTGATACCTTTATCATATAATGAATGAATAACTAAAACAAATAAAAGCAACCTGGGCTGTCACATCCCACCCATCTTCAAGACAGATCATGACCGAAGAACCTTGAACATCCATCAAGTCCACCACTGCTCCCGATAGCTGCATGATGCTCTGAAGCTGGTGGTGAGAAGAGAAAAGCATAAAACTGTAGTATGTATGTGCTACACCATCTGAAATACCGTATTATAACATTTTATTTTTCACCTTTTAATTATGAAAAGAAAAACAAGATTATATATCAGGTAATAATTTTCAACAACAAATATTAAATTTGTTTTTGTTTTTCTGTTGTAGAAAACTGACTTTCTTTTCTGTTTTCGACATACAAAACAGATAACAAGTTCACTTTGTAACATAGTTTGTGAATTTGTTTTGCATCCTTAAATTTTTTATACAAAATTAATGAGGCAGTGAAAAGTATTTACACTACATAACATAAAAAAAGCAGGAATTTCAAAAAATGTTTTGAAGGTATTTTTGATACAGAAGAGGGAAGTAACCAAGGGGATGCAGACCAGTTTTCACCCATAATACGATAAAAGGTTTATATGGCTAAGCCTATCATTTGTTTTAATGCTATGCTTGGCTGTCTTGTCCTATAGTTTTGTAAGAGGTAACGTCAGTTCAGCAATTTATGCATACACGAGTGGTTTTTTTGCATTGTCACCTACAAACAAGCAGGATGTATATGTTCCATTTCAGTAGGGACCAAAGGTTGTTTTTATTAACATAATAGTTGACCATATTCTTGATAGTCTTGAATACACAATTAAAGATGCACTTTATGTAATCACAAAATTATAAAGAAAAGTGTGGGCTCAGAATGGGATCATTCATGGTTCAGCTGGAAATAAAGGTGTGGAAAGACAAGTAGTATAAAAAGCATTATTCAATGACCCTTGAATACTTATTGGATGCCTTCCATGAGTATAAATTATGCAAAATCAAAATGACAGCTGAAATGTTTTTCACTCTGATTTGAGAAAAAAAGATTACCATGACTGCATAAATGAGTATTTACAGGCTAGATTTCTCAGTAACACATACTGACCCTCTTCTAAACATTTTTGTATCTTTGACAAAACTTCAATAAGCATGTTGGATCCTTTTTATAAACATTAAAGTTTTTTTTAATGAAACTCCTGAAAATGGAAAACAAGATCTATTTTTTTAAATATATTTCATATGTGGATATAGCTACATCGAAAGGACAATAGTATCAGCAGTCCTTTTTTTTGTTACCATTACAGTTTTAATTATGACATAGTTCTCTCTTTCTCTCTCTCTTTAAAACAAGGTTTCCTAAATAATCAATGCTGGCTTACACTAAGTTGAAGATATTTGTGTATGCTTTAAGTAGTTTCTAAAAAAAACTTAAAAACAACTGCCACTCATATGGAAAAGAAATCCTTATTTCATTAGTTCACCTCTGATGATGTGAATTAACAAGTTCACACTGTATTAAACTTAGTTTGTGAATTTTATACAAAATTAATGTATTTGTACAGTATAACGTGAAAAAAACAGGAATTTTTCAGTGTAAAAGCAGAATTATTTCACAATCACCCTCCTTAAAAATATATACCCATGTCCACAAATTTTTTTAAATTCATGAAAGATACACAATTTCTTTAATTAGAACATATACAGTAGTTACCAGTTACTGCTTTAAGAAATATACAGCTTCCATCATATGTTCAATACATAACAAAATAAATACATAGCTCTACATTCAAGCAATTCAGAAAAAGAATTGCATCTAAAAAAAAGCTGAAATTCAGATGATGTGGATTAATAACATGGATGGTATACATTTACATAAAGATATAAAAGTAATGTTTTCTCTCACATGCAAAAGTAAACCTTGCTCTCAAGTCCTAATATAAAAATAAAAAGCTGAAATTATTTAATCAACAAGTTACATTTTTACTATTTGCATTTCTAGTGCTCATAGTGAGGCATTAAGAGACAACTTGCATTTATTAACTTTACTACTTATAGTCAAAACTATTAGATAAACAAAAACTCTGGCATACACCTGACTGAAATACAATATTTGGCAGCTACAAATTCTTCCAGAAAATTAAAGTATTATAAAAATAATTCAGTTTTAATCAGTTCAACTCGCATTATTTTTCACACAGTCTTATCATACTGACCCGCTAGTACAAGTATGTTCGAGACATTTTCACCTACCTGGTTTAACCATTCTGAGTTTTCAACGCTTCTGTAAAAGTTCTGGTCTGGGTCTGTAACAGGATCACTTGGAACACATGCTCGCATTAATTTTTTAAAGCTTGCTTTAATCTGGCGGACTTCCGTGAAATCAACTGGGATGAAGTCACAGTTTGGATACGATTCTGGTTTGATACCCTTTAAGAATGTGAAAATGTTTAGTTTTGAAAAGAGAAGAATACTTGAAACTTTTAACAATCTCTAAGCATTAGCTTAAGTATGTATTAGTTTTAAGTTTGCAAGAGCATATTAGTCAAACTGTTTTTAATAAAAATTTTAAAATACATTGATTGTTCTTTTCGCAACACAATTTAGTAGTACATTCTGACTATGAAACATCAAATTCAATAACTGTAATTTAAGTGGATTCATATGTTATGAAAACAACTCAATGAAAGACAAAGAAAAAACAAATGAGCATTTTCAATAGGAAGACCTTTCTTCATCAGGGATAAACTCGTAAAGAAAAGTCTATATTTTGAAAGCACTTAGATTACAGGGTTTCTTGTAAGTTATTATATGTTTTTAAGATAATACATTTCAAATGTACTAATCAATATTCACCTTGATTTGTGCTTTTTCTCCAAACACATAGAGCGCTACCTTGTGGAAAGTATGAATATTTCCTTCCAATCCATTTGAAAAGTCAGATATACGTGTGGAGTGATAACCCGTCTCTGAGCCAATACTTGTGATGGATCCTTGTCTTCTTTCTTTTAAGCTACCCCAACGTAGTTCTATATAGATTAACACATCTATTTAGAGGTTTAATTATACAAAATAATTTTAATGTAACTACATTCTTTAATAAACTCTTTATTGTCAGTGTCATTATTTTAAGTCAGTATTGACCCCCTAAAGTAATTTGTTTTTGTAAGATTTATCTTAACTTTAATCACTGACTCTTTATTCATTTTAAATTAAAAAAAAATTAAAACCTTAAAACTTCAACTTAAAAGTAACTATGATTTTAAAGCTATATTTATGCATTACTTAATTTATTCTTCCTTCCTACATATATATACAGAAAACAATATGTAGGCACCGTAAAAAAACACATTCATGATATTTAAGTAACAATACACTAATTCAACAGTGTCCAACATGGTTGCCACTTGCCACAAGTGGCAAAATGGTTATTGACCTGTGGCGAATTGGTGCTTTACTTCTACCACCTATTTTTTTTAAATATAATTTTTAATAAAATTCATTTATACATGTATCAGTTTAAAAGTGTCCACTTTTTTTTTATTTGTTTTGAGGATAAAATACTAGAGAAACCTTACTGCATATTCTATCAATGAATAATTGAAATCATTATTCTGTATTTTTGTACCCCTCTATATCTATAAAAACACAGTTAATTATTTTTTTGTCAAGGGCGTAAATGTTGATGATTATGAAAAAAAACTGTTGAACACAGTTGATCTAATTTTTAATAAAATTCATTTATACATGTACCAGTTTAAAAAAGTGTCCACTTTTTATTTATTTTGAGGATAAAATATTGGAGGATAAAATGTTGGTGATTATGAAAAAAACTGTTGAACACAGTTGATCTAGTTTTTAATAAAATTCATTTATACATGTACCAGTTTAAAAAAGTGTCCACTTTTTATTTATTTTGAGGATAAAATACTGATTTTATGTTGGTGATTATGAAAAAACTGTTGAACACAGGTGATCTAATTTTTTGTAAAGAATGCGTAGTCTTCCCCTAAACTTTGTATGAGAAAGGTATTTATAAAATTCTGTAAAAATAATAAAACTTAAGCCTTAAGAGTTAATAATTATTACTCTGTAAACAAAACTTTTTCTTCTATGTTTCCATACATGGAAAGAGAATAAGGAATACCCATATTTTATTCTTAAAACATACATAACTTTTGATAATACATACAAGTGAGTGTTAACTCAGATATCACTCTTGTGACAGCTTGGATGTAATTTTCTTACAATTCCAAAAATTTTCATTTTGTTTGTTTGGTTTCATTTTCATGATCTTAATCTTTCAATGTGAATCAAGACTATTACTTTATTCAATAGTTTTTCATGACAAACAAATACAATATATTTATTATGAACATTTTGTTAAAGATTAAAATATATATTATTTTTAATAAGTAGTACAAAAAACAATATATATATATATATATGTATCTATCATATAAATAAAAAGTTATAAAGGAATATTCATGAAACCTACGTCTTCCACTTTTACCACCAGAAGAACGTAGCGTATTCACTGCCTTCTGCAGGGGATTTCCACGTCGTGCCAACTCAGGAGTAAGAGTTGGAAAGTTGTCAAGACCACTGGAACTCAACATTAGAGAGGAAATACTCAATGTGGAGTCATTCATACCTATTCTACTTCCATGTGCCGAGACAAGAGGTGCAACTTCAACAATGAAAGAAATGAACTTCTCTTGCTCAAGATGTGCTGATGTTTCACTGGATGAACCTATTTTGAAAAAAGACTGGGACATTAATAAAAATTCAGATATATTTTTAACCTATAGTGCTAACATGTACAAATTTAATATGGCTTAGAAAAAATTATTGAGTTACAGTAAAATTGTTAGGAAAAAAAAATATATATATACCTTAAAAACTTTCAAATATTAGTATTGAGATAACCTGATAAAAAGAACTAACTAATTTCTTTATCATTGTGATATAGCACTATATTTACTTATTTTCAAATCAACTCAAAATTTATGTAAACAACTTAAAAAAGTTTTGTAACTCTATGGAAATAGGTTCATGTATTTTGCACGACCTTGTAACACCATGTAACTGTGAAACTATACATACAACACTCTGAATGTACCTTTATAACATTTGGTAAGCTTTTATTAATAGTTACAACTATGTTGTACAAAAGAAATTATAATTTTTGATAAAAGTATTTCTACTGAAGATTTATCTTTGAATTCACTTTAGTCAACCTGACTTAGGTGCTGACAAGACAAGTACAAGGTTATTTTCATGTTAAAATTAAAAACACTTTTTCATCTTACAGTTTTTAAGACTTCACTGACATAACCTCAAGAACCTCTTTAAGTGAATATCAAAAGTTCTCTTCAGTAAAAGTTTATAGATTATCCGTTATTTTCTCTATCCTAACATTAACCCAATCTTGTAAACACTACAAAAAATATGAAATAAATCTACATTACTCTTTTTTTCTTTCTAGAATGACTGCAAATTGTAACAGAAAATTATAGCTATTTATTCTAAAATATTAAATTCTTTATCCTTTTCACAACTGCTTTCATTTAATTTTATTGTTTTATTTCTCTTTGAATCATGCCTCACCACTAAAGCTCCGTAAAAAAGCAAATCGTACAGTGAGCGCCTTGCTTAAGTAGTTATGTAACTGAATTATGTAATTCACAAGCAGCTTGAATGCAGAATTCAGAGAAATTTTTTATTTAACTTTTATTATTTATATTTTCTTATTCAACTACGTTTCTATTTTTTTTTACATTTTAGTTAGATTCATATCAGTAGATAAAAAAATAAATATACAAAAATTAATTTGATACTTAGTCTCGTTTTTTTTTGCTGTCAGCACTGACAAATCTTAACTACACTTTCTTGTAATGATGGTGGTTGTCCATTAAATAATTTTTATCATTTCAAATACATGCACTTAAGAACACAAAATAATAACACATTCAAAACATACATTGTCCTATAGCTAATATTTTAACTAGCTTTCTAACTAAGTTATAAGTGCCTTAAATAAAACATTTCTCTTAGGTGGTCAAGCTAAACTTGGCAATAGCAACTTTGAATCTATAGGCCAAATAATTCAAAAGTTGTCATGAAAACAAGCTTGCACTTCAGTTAATACTTATCTTTCTATTGGTTATGATAATGTAATAGCAGAGAATTACTGACATTTTATGAAAAAAAGTATGTAATAGGAGAATGTTGCAAGTGGGTTTCACTTTCTGGTTTATATCTTAGTAAACATTGAAAGCTATAAAATTAGACTATGCCTTAGTAATATATATACCATAAATGTGTAACTTATGTTTATCAATACAACATGATGAAAAAATAGAAAATGTGCAAGTTCAAGCAAACAAGTGAAGATGCATAATTTATTCAAATATTTCCTTTAGAATTTAAAAACTTGTATAAAATTAAAATTTTAATTATAAACTACATTTTTATGTCAAGTTTATTGATGTACATTGATAATAAAGTAGTTTAATTAAATTTTGAATGTAACTCTGTAAAAGGGTCTTGGTATTCATACTTTGACCTACCTGTGCTAAAAGAGTTAGATAATTCAAACGTACACTACAAGTTAGCTATTTCTAGAATTACTTTTCTTTGAAATATTTCCTTGAAAGTAAAATTATACAAAAAAATTACCTGAAGAAGATTGAGATCCTTTCAACATCCCGATAACTCCCTTTCCATGAAAACTGCTTCCACGTAGTAAAAGGGCCTTTGTTCGCGGATGACACCATGTAATCACAGGAAATCTAAAGATGAGGTAAAAATTAGATAATTTTTTTATCTGCTAGATCATACATCATTATGTATCTTTGTCAAACTTAGATGATACAGATTTAATTTTAAATACATACGACTCAAAAAATAAACTTTAGTTACCTCCAAGTGGTCATTTTACATTACTCAATAACATTCCCGATTCATATAGAAACAGGAAACCTGTTGGTATTCAGTTTCCAAGGAATGTGCAACTAAACTAACAGTATAAGAAACGTGCAACATTTCAAGAAACAAACTATCTCTAAAAAAAAGGGGGGGGGACTGCAATAATTATTTCTCAACTAATAGGAACAATTTTCATTAACTTTTCACCCAAAATAATTATCAAAAATTAATTCTGTTAATATCCGGAGTCCGGTTACTATCAATCACGTTTTTTTATTATTAACCTTCTGATAATTTGTACTCTAAGGAAAAATTAAAAAAATTATAGGTTAAAAAAAAAGCAAATGAAATGAGTTAGACTTCCACAATATACTCCCATTTTGAATATAAAAAAATGTTTATGAGCAAGATGAGTACCCACATTGAAAATCAATAGTTATAAACTTTAACAATTTGTCAAAAAAAAGAAACCTCCATTTTAATTGACCTTAGATTTTTCTTTTCTTAGTTCCATGAAATCAAATGTATGACAACTAGGCACCAATGTGATGTCAACTGAAAATTTACATTTTGATTTTTATACAACTGAAATAAACATAATATTGACTGAAGTTACAACAACTCATTAGGGAAAAAAGAAGAGATCAGTCCTTGTCTCCTCACACATTCAACAAAATTGGCAAATATAAAATAACAGGCTTTATCATACCTTTATTTTTCTTTACCTTTTAAATCTGCCCAAAAACATTTCTATTATAATACAAAAGTTTTTGTTTCATCAAATATTTAATACAAAATGGGATATAAACTGCCTCCTGTCACTTTCTGACTTTGTAATACAAGACCCACTTCAAAGTATTTGCAAAAACTGTGAAAATCAAATTTTAACATGACAGTGATGAAAAAAATGTACAAACAATTTAAAACCAATTTTATTGTACATTGGATAACAGTAACAAAAATTACTTTATAAATGATTGAATAAGAGACTGTTATATTAATGTTTGATTAATATTATTGCTTTTTCCATTATATTAGTTCATCAAGAAATTAATGTTGCG